AGGAGAGGAGAGGAGAGGAGAGGAGAGGTCTTCTGCCCTGCGGCACACACCAGACACCTTTGTGCTTTGCTTAGCTCTGTGCTTTGCCCTTGTCCCTCTTTCCTTTCCTTTCCTTTCCTTTCCTTTCCTTTCCTTTCCTTTCCTTTCCTTTCCTTTCCTTTCCTTTCCTTTCCTTTCCTTTCCTTTCCTTTCCTTTCCTTTCCTTTCCTTTCCTTTCCTTTCCTTTCCTTTCCTTTCCTTTCCTTTCCTTTCCTTTCCTTTCCTTTCCTTTCCTTTCCTTTCCTTTCCTTTCCTTTCCCTTACCTTCCCTTCCCCTCCCCTCCCCTCCTTTCCCCTCCTCTCCTTCTTCCCCTTCCTTCTTTCCTATTCCCTTTCCTTCTCTCCTTCATCCTTCTCTTTAACCTTTTCTTCTCCTTCCCTCTTCCCTTTCGTTCTCATCTTCATCCTTCTCCTTCATCACCCTCTTTCCCCATCACTCTTCCCTTCCCCCTTTCCTTCTCCTCTCCTTGATCCTTCTCCTTCATCCTTTTCCTCCTTAGCCTTCCCTTTCCCTTTTCCTTCTCTCCTCCACACTTCTCCTTCATCCTTTTCCTCCTTTCCCTTTCCTCACCCATTTCCTTCTTTCCTCCATCCTTCTCCTCCTTCCCCTTTCCTTTCCCCTTTCTTCTTCCCCATCCTTCCTTTCCCTGTCCCCTTTCCTTCCCCTCTCCTCCATCCTCCTATTCCTTCCCCCATCAGCACATCCCCGTTTCCCCCCCTCCCATACCCTCCCCCCGTGTCCCCATCTCCCCTTCACCCCAGGACCCTGCTCTCCCCCCGTGTCCCCATCTCCCCCTCGCCCCAGGACCCCGCACTCCCCCCGTGTCCCCATCTGCCCCTCGCCCCAGGACACAGCTGCACTCCATGGCTGCTCCTACCTGGCCAGGCACTTCTCCTCGGCCGCGCAGCGCAGCGAGTACAGGTGAGCTCGCTGCACGTAGGTGGATGCTTGCACGTAGTTGGGGTCCGGCACCAAGTCGGGGAGACCTGCCAGGAGGATGGGGACAGCCCTGAGGACCGGGACAGGACTTGGGGACAAGGCTTGGGGACAAGGCTTGGGGACGCAGCAGTCCCCTCTTCGAAGCAGCCAGTGCCGACCTCATGGGGAAGTTTTGCTTTGGTCACCACCACGTTTTTTTAATTTTAAGCTGCAGACGGAAAATCCTCCCTTCCCCTCCCCTTCCTCCCTGGCTCCCGCTGGCAAATCCCAATCCTCCATTTTCCTACAGCGGGATTGCTCAACCCGTCCTCCTGGAAGCGATTACACCCAGCTCTGGGCGGCTGCTGTGCCCGGCCACCCTGCGAGGGGTTATTGGGGTCCCCCTGAACCCCCCAGCTCCTATCCCTGCAGCAGCCAGGGATGGGGAGTGACATGACCCCCCAAAAAGGGGAGTCCCTATTTCCCACCCCGTTTCCTCTTTTTCACCCCCAAAACCGGGGTGAGAGCGGGGGCTCTGCTAACCCCAGCCCCCCCGCGCCATTATCCCTCCTCCCCTTTTATTCCTGATGTTGCCCTGGGCTTGGGGCCGAGCCCAAGTGAGCTGCGAGTGGAGGGACGGACAGACAGACAGACAGCTGCAGGGACGGGTGGGTGCTGCTTTCCAAAAGCATTACAGAGCCCAGCTGGAGCCGGTGCTGCTTCCCCCAGCAACGCCCTTTCACACCTCCCCTTCCCGAAGGCTCCTCCGGGACACCCGGAAAGCATCCTTACATCTGCCTCGCGAGAAGGACTGGGCTGGAGGGATGCTCCCCCAGCGCTCAATGCCTCAGTTTCCCTGCCCACCGCAATTTGCAAAGCCAAGCCCTGCTCTGCAAGAACCTCTGCTTAGCATCTCGCCTTCCTGCGAGTGCGCCAGCCTGTCCCCATCCCCACCCTCATCCCTACCCTCATCCCCATCCTTATCCTGATCCTCATCCCCATCCCCATCCCTCATACTCATGTCTCATCCTCATCCCCGTCCCTCAATCCCATCCCCATCTTCATTCCCATCCTCATCTCCATCTCTCATCCTCATCTCCGTCTTCGTCTCCATCCTTCATCCCGCGCCCCATCCTCATCCCTCATTCCCATCCTGATCCCAATCCCCATCCCTCGTCCCATCCCCAACCCCATCCTCATGCCCATCCTCATCCTCATCCTCATCCCTCAATCCCATCCCCATCCTCATCTCCATACCTCATCCCCCACCTCATCCCTCATCCACATCCCTCATCCCCATCCCGATCTTCATCCCCATCCCGATCCTCATCCCCATCCTGATCCTCAACCCCAATCCCCATCCCTCATCCCCAACCTCATCCCCATCCCAATCCTCATCCCCATCCTCATCCCAATCCCCATCCCTCATCCCCAATCCCCATCCCTCATCCCCATCCCCAACCTCATCCCCATCCCTCATCCCAATCCCCATCCCTCATCCCCATCCTCATCCCAATCCCCATCCCCAACCCCATCCCAATCCTCATCCCCATCCTGATCCCAGTCCCCATCCCCAACCCCATTCCCACTCTCATCTCCACCTCTCATCCCCATCCCCTTCCAAGGGACCGGGGGGTTCCAGCTACACCAGCTCCTCCCTTTGCACCCAGACAGTTTCCAAAACATTTCCTTTTTCCCCTCCTATTTTTTTTATCCCAATCTTCCCTTTTTTCCGTGGGCAAAAAGAACAATGCCTTCTTGTTTCTTGGCCTGCCTTCCCTCGAGGGATCACGTCACTCCATTGGAGCTCGTTTCCTGCCCCGCTTGCTTGGTCATCGCTGCTGATGTAATACCCAGGGGGGGATGCACACGCCAGGGGGAAAAGTGGGAGAACTTGGAAAGGCTTCCCCCCCACACTTAAAAAAAATTAATAATTAAAAAAAGCGACAGAGAAAGACCCCTGGGCCCCGTCCCGCTTGTGAGAGGAACATTTGTCATCATTTATAAAACAGCTTTTCCTCCCCGCTGTTGTTTATAATGAATTCTTGGACGCTCCGGAGAGAAACCCGACCCCTTCACCAACGGGGAGTTTTATTTTCCCCCCACGATGGAGCTCGCCCTGGATGGCCCCGTTGTTATTGTAGGGTCTCACGCCTGATTTTCAGCTCGGGCCTGGCAGCGAAGGGTCAAACCGCAAGCGCCGGCGTCACTGGGGTTAATAGGATGGCAGGATCCGGCCTCACCACCCTCCAAACATCCCCTTGTCACAGCAGGGCACCCAACTGTCCCCAGCCCGGGCTGGCCAAACCCTGATCCTTTTTGCTGAGCCAGCACTTTTGCACCTCCTGGAAGTCCGGGGCCCTGGCAACCCCCCGCTATCGCCTCTGAAAAGCGACGACCACAGCAAGAAAATGTTTGTTTTTCCTCCTCCACCCCTCGGCCTGCCCCGGGGAGCTGCCAGAGAAGATTTCCTTCTTCTTCACTGTGAAATTTAGAATAATAAAAAAAGGCAGGCCTGCTCCCCGCCGCGCTGTTTGTGCAGGTGTGCCGGGCTTAGCCGAAAAATCCCGGCTCCGGCAGTTTTCCGAGGGGGCCGCTGCTTCGCCTCCCCGTGCCCGGCAGTGCTGGGTCCCAGCCCCAGAGACGCAGGGACCACCGAAGGGGGTGGCTACGAGCAGTGGGGATGGGGATGTGGGGACAACCCCAAGCAACTGAGATGAACCTCATCCCACCCCACCAAATCTTCTCGGGATCCCTGGTTGTTCTTAAATGCCTGAAGATAGCAACAAAATCAACCCAAACCTGTCCCCAAGCCCACGAAAGGGAGACTTTCCCAGTAAGATTGTCATCTCCTGGCCCAGGTGCCCCATCCATGGGTGACAGCATCCTCGGGTGTCACCACAGCCACCACGACTCCAGCTTAGTGCATACCAAAATCCCCATCACTCCACAGGATTTCCAAAACCTGCTCCTATTCAAACGCCAACTCCAGGCGACCCATTCGCATGAGGACAAGGCAAAAAACCCTGCCAGAGATGGAGGAGAGCAGAGGGGAGGGGTCCGTGGAGGGGTCAGGGTGAGGAAGCCCCTGGAGATGCCTCCTGGGGGTCAGTCAAGAGTGGGGAGCACCGGTAAGAACTGGCACCTTGGTTGAATCCCATGAAGAGGGGTGGGCTATCTACCCTCATGGGTTAGATGCCACGTGGGCTTGGCTTTTGCCAGCGAAGACCTCCTTTCCATGAGATGATTCAGCCACTGGGCAAGACTTCGGTGACACTTGGGTCCTCCGCAGCGGCCGTGAGCTTGAGACATGAAGACTTGTGGTGTCCCCTTCCCATCTCTTTGCCAGTCTTGTCTACTGCCTTTATCTCACTCTCTTGACTAAGCCACACGAGATGCTCGTCTCCCACCCCCACCACAGCCTGGCCACCTATAGATTTAGGACTGGCAACTATTTCAACTCTCCCAAGGTGTCTTCATCAGCTGGTTTTGATGGAGGGAGGCAAGCTCCAATAAAACCCCTCATAAAAGCCGGTGGGATTTAATGGCTTAATTAATCCCCCAGGTCCCCCAGCAAGAGTCCGCACATTCCTGGCGGATCGGGTGGGATTAGGAGGCTCTTAAAGAGTTTAGGCGCATAATTAACATCTGATTCAGCTTTATAAAGTGTTTTGACCAATTAAGAAACCTGCCTGAAGGGTGGCCCTGCAGGTGACAGCCTTGGAGGTCTTTTTGGTGACCCCCCCAGGGAGGTGACAGCTTTCCCCAAACAAAGCTTAGCTGGAGAGAGCAGCAGGTGACCTGGAGGAGAGGCCAGGCAGCGGGTTGGCTGCAGAGAGCCACCTCCCTGGGTTGGTCAGATGATCGTTATTCCCTTCTTTAGATTCATCAAGGAAAAAGGTGGAGAAGGAGGCTGGGGGCTCCTGCACCGAGAGATGGGCGTCCTGTTGATGGGCGTCCCATTGATGGGCTTGCCGGCCAGCGAGGGTTGTCCACCCACCCATGGGCACCCTGAGTCCCTAGCAGAGCCACGACACCATCACCTCGGATCCTTGAAGGACACAGCCTTTACCAACTGAGATCTTGGCAGGCATCTTCTTGTTTCCCTCTGTTGCCTCGGGTCATCTGCAGTGCAACCGTCCTCAGGGGTCCCTCCCCAGAGACACAAGGCCACCAGCATCTCTCATCCCTGCACCCCTTGCCCCTGTATCCCTCATCCTTGCATCCCTCAGCCCCTCCATCCCTTGCCCCTGTATCCCTCGCCCCTGTATCCCTCGCCCCTCCATCCCTCGCCCGGCAGGAGTGGCTGCTCCCGGTGAGGAGGGCAGAGATCCGGGAAGATCCTCTCCACACAAACCCTGTCCCCAAGACCTTTCCCACACATCTTCGGCAGGGCCGGTCGGACCTCGGGCTGACCCAGCCGCGCTGCTCTCGCTGTGTTTACTTGCTCGCACGCAACGGGGCAGGGCCAGGATGAATGCTTTCCCCAGTAGGAACCCCCCTGGGATGGGATTTTCTCAGAAACCAGGGATGGGGCTGGATGGGTTATGGGGTCAGACGGGTCAGAGGCTCCAGCTGAGATGGGTTTGGCCAGGATGAATGCTTTCCCCAGCAGGGACCCCCCTGGGATGGGATTTTCTCAGAAACCAGGGATGGGGCTGGATGGGTTATGGGGTCAGACGGGTCAGAGGCTCCAGCTGAGATGGGTTTCCCAAGGGACAGGCAGGGAACAGATCCCCCAGGCTGCTGCTCCTCATGCCCTCCAGCCTTGCTTCCAATTTCACCACGGTGCAAAAAACACTCTCGGCAAGCCTCAGCCAAAAGCCAGAGGGTTTCATCAGGATCGGGGTCGGTAGGATGTGAAGTGACGGCATCCCTGCTGCGACCTTAGTCTCCTGCTGTGGCCCCGATGCAGCCGGCACGGAGGGGCAATGGGGCTGATTGGCCCTGGGCGAGGTGGCACAGATCCCACTCATGAATTGAGTCTGCCCCGGCACGGGGGACATGGCCAGGATGACCTGGGACACAGCACTGTCCTACCCCAGGAGCATGGCATGCCCCCGGCCCA